TTTGCCGCCCACTCTGCAAGCAAGGTGATAGAAGCAGTATAAAAGAGTCATCAGAGGTGTCAGAGTGATAGATAACACAGAGCAAGGGGAGAAAGGAAAGACTAGTGACAAATCCTGTTGTTAGAAATGGAAAGTAGTGATAAAGAGAGTCATTTATCAGACTGCTCCCATAGTAATCTGCTCCAGGACTGCAAAGCCTAGGACATGGCGAGCTGTTGGAGAAAAATTAAGTGGTTGGATAAAATTGAGGCTAATTAGCTTTTTAATAAGCTGTTCAATAGACGAGGCTATTTTCATTCGTATTGTACTTTCCCCCCAGTGCTAGTTTGTATCACTCCAGATTGTAAATTGTATGGTCATCTTTTGATTTGGTATGTATATCATGTATTAATATTAGCGTTTACAGGATTTAAATAGATTTTAAATTGTAGTTTTTATTCTCTTTGTTAACTTTTTTTGCTTCAAGTGTAATTTACTGCATACACAGTTTTATGCAGATTCATAAATTTAATTTAAAAAAGGATGATTCACCTCAAATACAAAAATTGGAGGGGAAAATGTTGAAAGTCTTCAAGGTTACCAATTCAATATGCTATTTTTTAGTTGCCAAAAACCTTTATAACCCTTCTTTCTGAAACTTTAAGTATTTTAATAGATGTTATCTATTTTTTTTCTTTCCCCTTTACTCCCTTGCTTTTACTCTTGAAAGTTACGAGTTCTGTCAGTAGAGCTGTAAGTGTTCCCTTCCATGCCATGCTGATTTTTGTAACCTCATTTAGATAGATAGGATCCTCATTTGAGTCTGGTTTCTGGACGAGTTGTTTGGATTCACTGCAAATAGATGGCCAATCCAGTGGTGATTTCTACCACGTAACCTCCTCTATTCCATTTTTGTTCTTTACAAGGAAGCATTTGTTGCTACACTTTCTTCCATCCCTTCTGTTTCTTTCCCATTTTTTCTCCCCCAGGTTTCATGCCCTGTTCCATCTGTTGCAGGTATAACCCTAGTCAGTTTTCACTGTATCTTCTGGGATCATTCTGTGCAAGTGCAGCCTGGCATAGTACTAATGATGTGCTTTTCAGGGAGAAATATTAATGTGAGATGAAAACTAACTTTTCTTCCTTCAAACCTAAGGATCATACCTGCACGAACTACTTTTCCCTGTGACCTAGCTATGTGAAATATTCGGAGTGGATCAGACTTATACTGCTAGTAAACCAGCAACAGAGAATTTTGCAGGGCGAAATGTGTGGGATTCCTACTATCACACAAGGCACATATATTGGAGTTTTGCCAGAAGTGGTTAATTGTAAATTAGTTTTCCTCTCCACTCCACCCCCCACCCCACAGACTTTTTCAAGCTTGTTTGATTATCATTAGAAAATGCTGAGGTAGGCTACCACACATGATTGTGACTTCACAGATGAAGAAGACAGTGGCATGAACAGATTAATTGTTAAAAAAGAAAGAAGGAAGACTTCTTAATGCATTTTCAGCATTAGCTGTGAGAGCTTGCTTAAAAACATAGTCTGCTGTTCGTAATAGGAAGGTTTTCAGCACTTTCTTGGCAGCCATACATTTTTAACAGGATTTTTCTGTTCCCCTTATGAAGCATTTGTTTTCATAATTGTCCAACTTTGCATAAGACAGATAATGGAAAACCGACATAATATGGATGAGCTCTTTTACCAGAGAAATGAGTAAAAAACCAAGTGGTTATTATTAAGCAAATAACTAGGTTCAGCCCTGGGTATATTACCACTGTGACTTTCTTATGTAGCTTAGTTATTTTAATATTTGTTTTTTATCAAGGTACAATGAATATTCACACTTTTCACTACTTGTAACCCTGCAGGTCAGAAGAAGCAAACAAGGCTTTTTCTGCAGCAGTGCAGATGCATGACGTGTTAGTGAAAGCCTGGGCAATGTGGGGCGATTATTTGGAGAATATTTTTGTGAAAGAACGTCAGCTACATCTAGGTGTATCTGCCATTACTTGCTATCTGCATGCCTGTCGCCATCAGAATGAGAGCAAATCAAGAAAATATTTAGCAAAGGTAAGGCCTAAAAATGTGTTTAATAATAATAATCCATTGGCTGGTACACAGCTGCGTACCAAGGCAAAATTAAACCCTTGCATATCAACATTGTCAAGGTTAATATTATTGGTGTAGTTTAAGCATATACTCTGCTTTGTGCTGTTTCTATAAGCCAAAATAACTGTGGGGAATTAGGAATGTAATTAAATGACAGACAATCATAGCAAAGTAGGCTTGGAAGGTCTCGGTAAGTCATCTAGTCCAGTATCTCAGTCTAATTCAGTATGCATCACTGAATGCATGGGTACTAGATTCATAGATGTTGGGGTTGGAAGGGACCTCAGCAGGTTGAGTCCAACCCCCTGCCCTGGGCAGGAAAGAGTGCTGGGGTCAGATGACCCCAGCCAGGTGCTTGTCCAGTCTCCTCTTGAAGACCCCCTGGGTAGGGGAGAGCACCATCTCCTTTGGAAACCCGTTCCAGATTCTGGCAACCCTTTCTAGTTACTTCAAGGGGTGCTCTGGTAAACAGAGCATCTCCTGTCCCCTGCTGCCCCCGCCCCCCCCATGAATTTGTAGACAACCATAAAATCACCTGTCAGCCTTCTATTGCGGAGGCTGAAAGGGATCCAGGTCCCTGAATCTGTCCTTGTAGGGCTTTACCTGAAGACATATAATATAAGTGGCTCTTCTCTTGACCCTCTCAAAGTTATCCACATCCCTCTTGAAGTACGTACGGCTCCCAAAACGGGACTCGGTACTCCAGCTCTGTGGCCTTACCAGTGTCTCATAGAGGGGAAGTATTGCCTCCCTAGACCTGTTTGTGATGCACCTGCTAATGCATGATAAAGTGGGATTAGTTTACCAATCACTTCATCGCATTGACAACTCATGTTCATCTTGGAGTCAACTATGACACCGAGGTCCCTTTCTGCTACAGTGCTGTGAAGAGGGTCATCCCCCAGCCTGTAAGTGTGCTGGTGATTCCTTCTCCCTAGATACAGCACTTTGCATTTGT